AAATGGCCAACAGGCACGTGGAAAAATGCTCAATATCGCTAATTATGAGAGAAATGCAAATCAAAACTACAATGAGGTATCACCTCACACCACTCAGAATGGCCATCAGTAAAAAATCCACAAATGATAAATACTGGAGAGGGTGTGGAGAAAAGGGAACCCTCCTACACTGCTGGTGGGAATGCAGTTTGGTGCAGCCGTTAAGAGAAATATAGAGATTCCTCAAAAGACTAAAAATAGGCTTACTATATGATCCAGCAATCCCACTCCTGGGCATATATCCAGAGGGAAACTTAATTCAAAAAGATACATGCACCCCAATGTTCACAGCAGCACTATTTACAACAGCCAAGACATGGAAACAACATAAATGTCCATTGACAGATGACTGGATAAAGAAGATGTGGTATATTTATACAATGGCATACTACTCAGCCATAAAAAAGAATAAAATAATGCCATTTGCACCAACATGGATGGATTTAGAGATTGTCATTCTAAGTGAAGTAAGCCGGAAAGAGAAAGAAAAATACCATATGATATCACTTATATGTGGAATCTAAAAAAAAAAAGACAAATGAACTTATTTACAAAACAAACTTATGGTTACCGGGGGGAAGGGGGTGGGGAGGGATAAACTGGGAGTTCGAGATTTGCAGATACTAACTAATATATATAAAATAGATAAACAACAAGTTCACACTGTATAGCACAGGGAACTATATTATATCAATATTTTGTAGTAACTTATGGTGAAAAAGAATATGAAAACAAGTATATACATATTCATGTATGGCTGGAGCATTGTGCTGTACACCAGAAATTGATACAACATTGTAAACTGACTGTACTTCAATAAAATACACATATATTTATTAAAAAAACACATTTTAAAGTAGGAAGAACCCCACCTGTAAACCCTGGAACTCAGCACAAATTGTAAAGAGACCTAATCCAACTCAACGTCCCTTGCCTCCTGGCCAGGAAATGCCTGAGGACATTCATTTTAGGGCCAAAGCCTGTGTATGGGTAAGTCTGAGGTCAGTGAGGACCTCAGGAGCCTCACTCTCCCCTCCGGGCCTCAGCCTTCCCATCCCGCATCTCCCACAGTGGGGAGGGGGCCCTAAGGAGGTCTGAGCACCCCCAGCCGCAGTGTTAGTTTCTGGAGGCTCCTGGCCTGGGGGGACAGCTCTGACCCCTGCCCTGTCCCAGGGAGCCAGCCCCAAGTCTCCTACCCCCCCGCCCCTCCAGCTGTATTCAATCCCTTATTCCGCAGTTATTCAATGCCTGCTGTCTACCGAGATGTCCAGAACAGAACTCACGGCTCCCCTAAACCTTTGCTCCATCTTGTCTCCCCCAGGAAGGTGCCCACCTTCAGTTCAAGGGCAGACACACCTGACCTCAGCCTTGGAGGCCCAATCTAATCAGTGGCTGTGCCATCCCCACTGCCCCCCAGCTCTGCCCCTAGCCTCCATGGGCCTGCTCCCCTCCGGGCCTTTGCCCATGCTATGCTGCTCCCTCGACCTGGGTGGGCAGCCTTTCTCCTCCGTGGTTGCCCAGGCAGCTCTCAGTCACCCGCCCAAACAGCACCGCGATTTCAACACCGGTCCTGACTTCCCAAGTCAGGCTGAGCAACTCGGCCTTGTGCACCCCAGGCACCTGGAACCCCCCTCTTCTTCCAAAAGAGGCCTCTGCGAACAGAACATTTCTGCCCTGCCCTCATTTTTTCCTGGGTGAGGCTTATCCCTCCTCCGCAGGGTGGGGCGGGAGACCCAGAATTCCCTTTCTCCCCTTCCCAAATCAAGATGAGGGTACTCATAATAAGGTGGGGATTTGGGGGTAGGAGCAAACCAGGGGGCGGCCCACAAACAGGGCAAGGGCCCCAGCAGGCAGCTACCGTAAATATCACTAGATTTCAGCCAATCCCAAGCTATACTGTGCCCTGGGCTGAACATTTCTCTGTCTATATCCCCTTTGTCCCTGCCACCTGCCTTCAGGGGTCACCTCCTCCAGGAAGCCTTCCCTGGCTTCCCAGAGGGGGTTAGCCGACTCCTCTGAGCTCCTACAGCCCTCAGGGTTCCCTCCACTGAAGCACACACCACATTATCAAATGGCATTGTTAACGAGGCAGGCTTGCCTACTGGTCTGGGAGGTCCTGGAGGGACGAATCAGGTCTCTTTGCCTCAGTGGACCCCATGTCCAGAGAATCCCTGAGGCATGGTTTGTTTACTGAAAACTGGGACGCAGCCCTAAATCCAAAGCCCAGCCCCATGTCAAACGCTCACTTGCTTGCTTGTTGCTCCGAGTCTGAGCCCACAACTAGCTGCCCTGCAGGTGCAGCCACTCAGCAGCCCTCCGCCCACAGTATATGGGCTCCAGCTGGGGAGTCCCCGCTCTGCCCTCTTCCCCGGCCCCGCAACCTCTGGCATCAGCTTTTCTGCCTTTAGGACGGGGGCCTGGGCCAGACTGGGAGAGGAGGAGGGGGGGGAGGAGGCAAGGAAAGGAAGGGTCCAGGACACCCAGGGAACAGGCTCAAGGGGTTGAGGGAGGAGCCACTCCCTTTGCTCACCTGGCTTTTCAGACCCAGATGACCTGGACAGCCCCACTGTGGGGGCGGAGGAGGCCGAGGAGGTTGAGGAGGTATCACTGGAGGCGATGCTCCCAGGAGCCATTGCATAGGCAGATGCTGGTGACCCGTCCCCAGGCGTGTGCTCCCAGGCCTGCCTGCTCCTCTTATATACTAGCGGCCCAGCCGTCCTACTCCAATTAGCCCCTGATTGGGCCGGAGGCTCAGAGCTGATTGGGCAGGAGGGCTGGAGAGGGCCCTGCAGCCCTGCCTTGTGTGCTGACGCCCCAGCTTGGCCACCTGCTCCTGTGTGACCTTGGGTGAGACTCTCGACTTCTCTGGGTCTCGGCCCCCATGGAAAAATGAGGGGGCTGAGACGCTTGATCCTTCCTGGGCCCTCTGCCCAGCAGAGCCTAGAGATGCAGATGGAGAATTAGGTACACCTGGGTTGTGGAGGAAGCCCCCGCCCCCCAGCGAGGCCCTCCAAGCCCACTGCCCCAGTGTTCCCTCTTGTTCCTGGCCCACTGCTGGCCTCGGCGTCTCAAGAAGTAGCAGCTGGGGACCAACCAGAGGATTTGCCTGGAGCAGACACTATCAGGTCAACCTGCAGCCTCCTTTTCTTTCTTTTTGTTTTATAAGAAGCAATTTTAAAGGGATAAATGAGCAGTTTTTAAATAAAATTACTTATCAAACATCTCCATAAAAAATTAATGTCCACTGGGAAAATGGACAAAGAATATGGATTCACCAGAGAGGCTGATAAACACTAGAAAATCTTCTTGACTTATTTGGTACTCAGGAAAATTAAAATGGAAACAACAATATTATTTTCTCATCAAACTGATAAAAATTGAAGACAAATTTTTATCTTTTGGCAAGGATGCTGGGAGTCAGGCCCTCACTGTCTCTGCAAGGCTTATAACTTGAGGGCAGCCTATGTTGAAAGTATTCCCTTGAACCTAGCAACTCCACTTCTCTCTCCTAGAAGTGCAATAGTTAGACCAAAAATAATTGCTGCGTTATTTGGAAATAGGAAAAAAAAAGAACTAACTTCCAAATGGATCACTCGGAGCCTGGCTGAATTACTCCCTTACTGTAGAATACTCTGCAGCCATTTAAAAGGACGACGTGCTATTTCACACCCAGTAGGATGACAAATATTTAAATATCCATCGATCCTGAGCGTCCAGGGTGTAAAGAAATGCACAGCCCCTGGGAAGGTGAATTGGCAGCCACTTAGATGCCCGGATCCATGCCCGGGTACAGGGTAACTCTGCAGCTCCTCCCATGCCCCTTAAATGTGAGCTGGCCTTGTGACCTGCTTTCACCAACCGAGGACGGTGCAAGTGACTAAGTTATGCCAGCCCCAATCCCATGTGAGCACGCCTGCTGGGTGCTGAGGGGCCCATGGCCCAGCCACCCCTGCTGCCCAGCCCACAGCTGGCCCACAGCTGGCCAACTGGCCAGCCCTCCATCTGACCACAGATACTTAGATGAGCCCAGAAGAGATAAACCAAGCTTGGTCTGGATCAGCAGAACTGCCCGGCTGACCCACAGAGTCATGAGCAACAACACATGGTGTGTTGTTTTAAGCGTGAGGTTCGGGGGTCGTATGTCACACAGAACAAGCCAGTTGATACATTCTTCTTAGAAGGGCCTCCTTTACCCCCACCTACCTTCCCTGGACTGTTTCTCACTCATCCTTTTGGCCTCAGTATAGATGTCGCTTCCCCAGGAAAGCCCTCCCTGACACCCCAGGAGGTTAGGGGCCCCTTTTCTGATTGCTGCAGCCCCTCAGCTTGCTGTGTGGGAGCCTCCAGCACCCCGAGTTACAATTCTGCCTCACCTGTCTCGGCGCTAGCCCTTGAGCTCTGGGAGGGCGTGGGGGAGGGTGGGGCTGCGTCTGTCTTGTCCCTAGAGGTCTCGCTGGTGCCCAGCACGGGGCCCAGCACACAGTAGGTGCTCAGCACCCACTGCTGTGGAAGCCCCGGTTCCAGAGCCCAGCTCGGCTCAGTGGAGGGAGGCCTGGAAACCATGAGGAGACGAGAAAAGGCAAAGAGACACGTGGAAGCTGGTGCAAACAGGGCAGCAATTTTGATCACATTTCCAAGAACTGAGAAATAAAGACTCGGTGATGCAAACATTCCCATAAGCTTCATCTGAAGCCCTGCTCCAGGGCTGTGCCAGGAGCGAGTTCTGCGTTTGAGGGAAGATGTTCTCAAATGTGCTGCGTGATCTAAAAATTCTCCCAGAGGGTTGCCTTTTCACAGGGAAGTGATGGTTGTGAGGATCGGCCTGCTGGAGAGGACGGGCTGCCTGGAGTGCCTGTGAGGCGCTTTCACTGAGGCCTGTCTGGAATTTAAGTTTTGCCAAAACCTTTTTTTGCCACCTTGGGACATTGAATGGGGCCATCTTACACGGGACCTTCCAGTTCTGCAGGTTAGCGTCCTAAACTCTCTGGAGCAGAGTCTGTTTTGTGTAACTCTGGCCCCTGTAGCCCAAGGACATCCTTGACTCTAGATCAATAAACGCACAGGGGGCAGGTTAGAAAGAGCCACCGTGTTGATGGTCCATATACATATTTTATATTCACTGTTGTATTTACACATGAAAAAGCAAAAGATCAGAGAGGACCCATGTTAGATCTTACTGAGGCCAGACCCTGGCCTGCAACCTGGAAGCCCTCTGTTATAGTTGAGAACCAGCCATAAATCCAAAACACCAGTGGCTTCACTAAGAAGCCACAAGACCATTCTCTCATGAAACCCTTCAAGTCTGAGTTGCAGTGCTGGTGAGGCAACATGGGAGACCCAGGCTCCTCCTTTCTCTGCCATTCTCTGCCCGCAGATTCTACTTCATGTTCCAAGAAGCTGCTGCAGTGCTGGTCGTCATGACCACATTCCAGCCGCTAGGAAGGAAAGAAGAGTAGACGGGCAGACACCACGATTCTCTGAAAGGCACAGCCCAGAGGCTGCACATATCTCTTCTGATGATACTCCTTTGGCCAGAATTTACTGTCACCTAAACGTCACTGCAGGTGCAGGAGATGCTGGGAGAGGCAGTCTTGTGCTGGGTAGCTAGATGCCCAGCTAGAATTTGGGGGCTAATACGAATAGAAAGAAGGAGAATGAATGCTGGGGCCAGTTAGTACTTGTTTCTGCCATTCCTGAGACCCCTCCATGATTTTACTCTCTCTGCACATCTGTCTCCAGGGGCTGCTGCTTTGAACGTGGCTCATGTCCCTGGGAAGGGAGCTCACGTTTATTGAATGCCTACTATGCACTTCATCTTTTGTACCAACAATCTCAGCCCCTTTAGATGAGTCCACCAACTGGAATGATTCTCCCCTTTAAAGCTGAGGGGCCTGAGGTCTAACGATGTTGAGGGACTGGGCTCGAGGTCACACAGCTGGAAGAGGCACCTGCTGTGCCCCTGGGACACCTTGGGTGTCAGGAGTGGGTGACTCTTCTAGGGGCAGGGGGCAGGCTGTCCTCAGGCTCTGCTGGCTTGGGGTGGGGGCTCATGCTCTCTCCTCCCAGAGGCAAGGTCAGGGGTGAGAGCTCTGTGGCCCTGAGACTGGCCAGGTCACAGCCCAGAGACTTGCTCCCTCCAGTCCATCTCTGAGTCCCCAGCACGTCCTGGCCCAGGGTCGGCTTTCTTAGGTTGGGTTGAGCGGAGATACAATTGTAGACAACAGCATTCCATACCCCTGGTGGCTGCCTGGAGCCTGGAGCTGAGGTGGGCAATGCCCTCTCGCTGGCCTGAGGCAGCAGCCCTTCCCCTTTACATACGGCGGTTCCCCACCGGCAGCGTCCCATCTGGTGTGAGTAAGGAGTACGTTAGGGAAGTAAGGCGGCTTTTCTCTCTACCAGGAAAAGCGGAGAATGTTCTGGTTTTAGAGTAAATTTTTTCTCTGCATGTGAGGCTGAGACAAACATCCCACTCCTCAGAGTAAGTGGACTGAGGGTTTCCTTGGGCTCCTTCCTGTCTGTCCCCACACTCGCACCACTTGGTTTATGTGAGGTAACTCTACCTTGTGCTGCAGAGGCAATCACGTGGCCCAGGCCTGGCC